CCCACCTGGGCCTTGCATGCATGATGTGGACACTCCAGCCCAGAGAGTAGGCTTTATACAACCCATCACTCTCCTGCAGGAGCTGCCCCTTGGCCACCTTCTGGCCTAGATGCACATACTAGCAGTGCCATCTACCCTCAGGAGGATGGGTGTAGGGCAGAGCCTCAGGGCCATTTGGGCAGGGAATTCCAAGGTTCTGAGTTTGTGGAGTATGGACTAAAATGTGGAGGTCATTGGCTCCAGGTGGCCATATCCCTTTGGCCCCATAAACTTACTGCCCTGTGAGTGGGGGAGTGGCTGAATGAGGGTCAAGGCAGGGACCCTTTAAAGTGTGGAGTCAGGGGGCACCTGGATGGATCAGTCAGTTAAGTGTCCAACTCTTGATTCAGGCTCAGGTCATGATCTCTCAGTTTGTGAGTTCAAGCCCCACATCAGGCTCTGTGCTGACTGCATGGAGCCTACTTGGGATTCTCTCTCTCTTCCTCTCTCTCTGTTCTCCCCCACTTGTGCTGTGTCTCTCAAAATAAATAAGTAAACCTAAAAAAAAATAAAGTGTGGAGTCAGGGCAGGGGCCCCTCTTGCCCAGGTGGTACTGCTTCTTTTGGGTAAAGTGGGTTGGGACAGTAGAACCTTACTAAGAGCAACTTTATTTACCTTAGTTTCTCTGTCTGGTTGTCATTAGAAAGCCTCCTCTTCCCACTTGATTGGAATCACAGGTGGTCTGCTATTCCTAAATAAGTGCCAGATGTGCAAATGGAGGTCAGCTGTTGCCCGAAACCAAACTAGAGGTTTAGGGGTGCCGGTGTGGTTCAGTTGGTTAAGCACCCAAATCTTGATATCAGCTCAGGTTGTTATCTCACGGTAATGAGATCAAGCCCCATGTTGGGCTCCATGTCTGAACATGGAGCCTGCTTGGGATTTTCTCCCCCACTCTGTCTCTGCCCCTCCTCTGCTCCCACTCTCTCTCTCTCTCAAATAAATAAACATTTAAAAAATTAAAAAAAATAAAGACCGAAGAGAGTCTCTGGAAACACAAAAAGATTCTTAGGAGAACAAGGATATCTTACATGTAGAGAATACTCACGAATATTCATTCATGGACTGAGAACTGATTGGTTTACTCTTTGTTCCAAGAAGGTGATATTACGAAGTAATGTATTTTCTCTGTTTCTTTCCTCTCCAGCTGCCCCCAAGTCGTGCATTCTCAGTTGTGAGAAAAGGGATCAAGCTGTAACTGAAAGTCTCATTTCCCATTTTAAAGTTCTTTTATTGTTCACCTCACCTGGTCCACAGTTTCCATGAGTAACAGATAAGGAGTTAACTCTTGAGTTCCACTGCTTGCTACAGAGCAGCTCAAGTTGAGTTAGCTGACCTCACGACTGATGAAAAGTTCTGACCCAAGGACAGTGGGTCCATTCTAAGGACTACGGTCTCTCAACTCCAGCTCAGATTTACTTCGTGGGTTTTTTCCATTTTCTTTAAAACAAAAACAGTGTAAGGGTGCCTGGGCAGCTCAGTCGGTTAAGCGTCTGACTCTTGATCTCAGCTCAGGTCATGATCTCATGGTTCATGAGATTGAGCCCCATGTTGGGCTCTGCACTGACAGCATGGAGCCTGCTTGGGATTCTCTCCCCTCTCCTCTGCGCCCCCCACACTCTGTCTCTCTCAAAATAAATGAACTTTTTTTTAATAAATACAATTTTTAAAAGAATAAGTAAAAAAATAAAAACAGTATAGCACCATCACTTGCAAGGAAAAAAAAAGTTACTCTGAATCTGAAAAAATGAAAGGGATCTCAGAAAAGTCTTAGAGAAGGACAAAGCTACAGATCCTGGCCCTTTGGGATATCCTTATAAAATGAGGCCCTTCACAGTTTAGAAAGGCTCTTCTCTTACCTGTCCCTGAGGTGTTCTTTTGCCACATGATGGTGAATAGCTCAGGCCGCAGTGTTTCCTCTGTTCCTTCTTCCCACTCTTACATGGTTCACCTGCCATGTAAGAGGTGTGCTTGTAGGCATCACTCTGCCTTTACTCTTCACTGCTCAGTTTTTTTTTTTATTGTGGCAAAATATTCATAACATGGAATTCACCATTTTAATCATTTTTAAGGGTATAGTTCAGTGGCATTAAGTGCATCCACACTGTTGTGCCGGGTTCTCTCCTATGGTATTTAGAGCATTTTAATACTGAAAAAAAATGAGGAAGAACTCTAAGTTCTGGCACTGACTGGCCTTTGGCCAATCACTTAATCCTCCTGCTTCCTTACCGGTAAAGTAGTAATAGTACCTATGTTGTGGGGTTCTTGTAAGTGAGCTCTTGGTGTCGACTTCTGGCAGGTAGTATATGTTACATATTAATGGTTAGTCATGATCTTCAAGCCAAACATGTAAAATTAGAATAGTTTCTGAATCCTAGATGATAATCACACTAATTCATGATATGCTGTCCTTTTCAAATAAGTAAAAGTATTGACAAACATATTAAAAGATAATTCGGTAAGAATTATCAGAGCAATTGTACTTGACTGATTTCCCCTATTGAAGTTGGCAAATTGCCATTTTTTATGCATTCTGTTCCCAGGAAATATCCTAATTCTGCATATTTTATTTGCCTGCACTTTGCTTCCTTCCCTTCTGTCCAGTACACTCTGTTCTTTTTTTTTAAATATTTAGTAAGTTTTCATTAAAAATTTTTTTAATGTTTATTTTTGAAGGAGAGAGAGACAGAGTGTGAGTGGCGGGGGGATGGGGGGATGGAGCAGAGACAGAGGGAGACAGAATCTGAAGCAGGCTCCAGGCTCTGAACTGTCAGCACATAGCCCAACATGGGGCTCGAACCCACAAACAGTGAGATCATGACCTGAGCCGAAGTCGGACGCTCAACCGACTAAGCCACCCAGGTGCCCCAAGTTAGTTTTCATTTTAATTTCAGTATAGTTAACATACAGCATTATTTTGGGGAGCCTAGGTGGCTCAGTTGGCTAAGCATCCAGCTCTTGGTTTCGGCTCGGGTCATGGTCTCACGGTTCGTGACTTCAAGCCCTGCGTAGGGCTCTGTGCTAAAAGTGTGGAGCCTGCTTGAGATTCTTTGTCTCTCTCTCTCTCTTCCCCTTCCCTCATCTCTCTCTAAATAAATAAATAAACTTTTTAAAAAATGTTCTATTAGTCTCAGGTGGACAATATAGTGAGTAATTGAACAATTCCATATCTTGCCCAGTGCTTCTTATGAAAAGTGCATTCCTTAATCCTCATCACCTATTTCCCTCATTCCCCCCCCCCCCCACACCCACATCCCCTCTGGTAACCATCAGTTTGTTCTCTGTAGTTAAGAGTCTGTTGGTTTGTATCTCTCTTTTTTTCCTTTGCTTGTTTGTTTCTTAAATTCCACATATGAGTGAAACCATACGGTATTTGTTTTTCTCTGACTGACTTATTTCACTTAGCATTATGGTCTCTAGCTCCACCTCTTTTTTTGTCAGTCTTTTATATATATGTGTATATATATATATAGAATATATATACATATATAATTTACTGTCAAATTGGTTTCCATCTAGCTCCATCTCTGTTGTTGCAAACATCAAGATTTTATTCTTTTTTATGGCTAAGTAATATTCCTGTGTGTGTGTGTGTGTGTGTGTGTGTGTGTGTGTGTGTGTGTTCTTTATCCATTTATCTATTGATGGACACCTGGGCTGCTTCCCTAGTTTGGCTATTGTAAATAATGCTGCAATAACCATAGGGGTGCATGTATCCTTTTGAATTAGTGTTTTTGTACTTTTGGAGTAAATACCCAGTAATGCGATTCCTGGATCATAGGGTAGTTCTATTTTTAACTTTTTGAGGAACCTCATCTTGTTTTCTAGAATAGCTGCACCAGTTTGCATTCCCACCAACAGTGCATGAGTGTTCCTTTTTCTCTACATCCTCACCAACACTTGTTGTTTCTTGTTTTGTTAATTTTGGCCATTCTGACAGATGGGAGGTTATATCTCATTGTAGTTTTAATTTGTATTTTTACAGATATTGAGCATCTTTTCCTATGTCTGTTAGACACATTTGTGTCTAAATTCAGTCACTGTCCTCCAGAGGTATATGTTCCAGTTTTAATACATTTTTTTCATGCGTTATTTTACAAAACTCTACATTTTCACATAAAAGTCCTCAGTGTTTTAATTATGACACTGGTCACTCATAATAATCACTTTGTATATTGATACCTCAGCTATACTGGTTATGTGAAGATTAACCCTTGGATACTCATGATTTTTTGGAAACATTCGTTTATCATTTTGTCTCAGCCCTCTCATTGATACTCAGTATTAACAAGGTATGATACATGGGTTAATACAAACCCCACTTAGAGACTATGCACCCATTCATGAATGCTTTAAAACCATGGTCTTCCCTGTCCGTTGTGAAGCTAGTTCCCTTTCCAGAAATTCCCTTTCTGCTTCTGTCTGTCCTTAGAAGTTGCCAAGCAGCAAACCCTGTGCTGTGGTTTTTAAAACTTAAAGTAGTCACTAAATTTATAAAAATCCAGATTTCAAGTTTCTCTTCATCCGCCAGAATCTCTAGTCCACAGGACCTTGGGAGGCTACATGACCTCCACAAGCACATGGGGCACGGGCTCCACCAGCAATCCAGACCCAGGCTCTTCCAGTACATTAGGGTCTCCCCGCTTCCAGCATTTGACACGTTTTCTAGACAATGGAATTTAACAATTAAATGTTGTCATATCCTTTGCTAGTGTTTTCTATTTTATGTTTGTTTCCTCGTTGATTGTGCACAATGGGAGGAAGAGAAGGTTTTACATCCGCCTCGGTAGTCAGCACTTGGTAAAGCCTCGGTAAGGCACTTGGTTGACAGATACCATATGTTGTGGTCCCCACTCTTTTTCCTATAGGTGCGTCTTCTCTCTACAGCAAGACAGTGAGTCCCTTGCAGTGGCTAGCATGGCGATGAACACTCACTGATTCTGATCTCTTAATATTTTCTTTAGAATTTTTACTTGGATAACAAAGGAAAAAAAGAAGGGAAGGAAACAAGTGAGAAAATGAATGCTAAGAACAAGGAATCCTTACTTGAGGTAAGTGTAATTTTGCAGAGTAGAAGAAAAGAGAAGGATGCTAACTGTATCTATTTTTAAATTATTTGCTTCTTAGAACAATGGGATATTCTGAGACACACTGAAATTTGAACTTGGGGTTTTAAAATCAAATTATTACTAAATTATAGCTATTTAGATAATTAAACTGGTTCTTTGAGTCAGTTGTTTAAAAGTATGGCTTTAGACTATATTTTACTTTCATGAAGTTGGATTAGTGATTCTCGCCTAAAACACTTAAGAATCCACGTAAAACTCGTCTCTTAACATTCCATGTTTTTCATTACTGAAGTGCTCCCCAGAAGTCAGATGTAAGGATTTCCAAACCTTGTTTACAGTGAATTCTAAAATGTTCTTTCAGTAGCCAGGTGTGGTAGGAAGTGTGGGCTTTGCCTTAGGAGACCTGACACAAGGTCTGGGTCTGCCATTGAGGTTCGGATGTTATACGGCAAGTCCAAGAACCTCGATCATACTGAATTATTACAGCGATCCAGGGCAGTAATGGAAGCACTGGGTCGATTACTGTGCAGATGTTCGTGATTATCACTATAGGGGCATGTTCCAGAAGTTTATTTGATGGTTGGTTTTTTTTGAAACTCCTAGTGAGTTTTCAGGTAGTAACTGTGCTAAAAATCAGGGCTCTGCTCCCAGCACATAATGCAGATGAGTGCAGAGATCTAAAGTCAACACACTTGTGAGGGTGAAGAAAACCTGTGTAGGGTTCCAGCCCAGGTTTTCTTCACCTTCAAAAATGTGTTGACCTTTTGTTTTCTTTTGAGGCTTCTTCTGAAGATTCAGATGACCTGGTGAGCTCTGGACGCATGTTCACACCTGGAGCCAGTTCGCTGACATTGATTAGCACCCTTTCTGTTATTCACCAAGACCTGGCCAGGCTCCCGCACAGGTTTCTCTCCCCACCACATTCTCACAAGCCCATAACCAGATGGAGCAGACATCAGAACCTTCTGCCACTCACAAGGTCCTGAAAACATGTTATAAATTCCAGCTTCTGGAGCCAAGAGCACAGTGGGTATTTCACACGAAGGCGTAGCAGTGGGGATAGGGACATTCTCTGCATTTAGCAGACTCCAGGTTGTGTCGAGGAAGAAAAAGCACCAGGTACCCAGCAACAAGGAGATTCAGGTTCTGAGTGTACCTAGCAGTGATGGAAACTGACAGACAGGGAAGGGGAGAGTGAAGTTTCCTGACACAGCCGTTTGTTTTTAATCATCAGCTGTCTGTAACTCAGGGACAGCTTGTGCCTTGGTTTATACAGTTGCCTGAATAGTTCTTGTTCTAGGACTTCAGCGGTGCATTAAAGGCTGGATGTGAAAGAAAATACAAAGGATGTTACGCTATGAAAAATCAGCACTATTCTGCTTTCTAATTTGGGCCAAATATCTGATTGAAGAGATTATTGACAAGGCAACTAATACTAGCTAAATTGGAGGAGAATATGAACAAAAATGTGTCCCAGCTCCACTATATATACATTTCCTGGCAGGGTACAAAACTAAAAGTTATTCTCCATTTATGAGATGGAGTAGAAGGGGGTTGAGAGTTACAAAAAAGAAAGCCAAAAGTAAGTTTGAGTATTTGAACTGGAATAAAATGCTGTACTTTTACTGAATTGCTTTTTAAAAGAAATTTACTAAGAATTATTTCATTATATCTAAGTTTTCACATTCGAAAATCTACACCTAGAGAATTTGCTTTGTCCTTCTCCTTTTCTGATACCATAGTGTTAATAACTGCCTTCTTCATTCTTCAGTAAGAAAACTATCCCAAGAATAAATTAACATACACATGTTTATGTGAAGAATTATATATTCTAACTTTTCTGTTTAGTGGCAGTAAAATAGTAATTATTTTTACTTATAGGAAAAGAAATAATTTTTCTATTTACCAACTTATAATAACAGAAATAGCCTTTATTTAATGCTTACTTTCACAGTACACCAAGATTGTACTCATAACCTTTCTTATGAAGTTGGAGCTATTATTACTCCATTTTTGCAAGCAAAGGAACTGAGATTTAATGACTTGCCCACGGTCACAAAAGTAAGTAGTTGAGAAGTCTTGAGGTCTAACTCAAGAGCTGAGGTTCAACCACCATGGTATCCTTCCTTTCTTTTGGCAAACAGCATGCAGTATAATTGTATGCAGAGTTACAGACAAGTGACTTTTAGCTGGTTTGGCTAAAAGGCTAGTTTGCCATAGTTTGTTTAAATGTGAACAAAAATTTGTGTTTTTTTTTTCACGTGTTCTCCATAATTGGAATCTCAATTTCAGGAAAGTTTCTGTGGAACATCTGTCATTGTGCCAGAACTTGAAGGAGCTCTTTATCTGAAAGAAGACGGAAAGAAATCCTGGAAAAGGCGCTATTTTCTTTTACGGGCTTCTGGAATTTATTATGTACCCAAAGGAAAGACTAAGGTCAGGAAAATAAAGTAATACGCTTTATCAAAAAATCATTTCATGAAAATGAACCTGAAGAAATTCTCAGACAGTAATTTAAATACACTCCTTTGTTCTGAGATTTGTGTTCCTACAATGTTTATATAAATGCATATCCTGGGGCGCCTGGGTGGCGCAGTCGGTTAAGCATCTGACTTCAGCCAGGTCACGATCTCGCGGTCCGTGAGTTCGAGCCCCGCGTCGGGCTCTGGGCTGATGGCTCAGAGCCTGGAGCCTGTTTCCGATTCTGTGTCTCCCTCTCTCTCTGCCCCTCCCCCGTTCATGCTCTGTCTCTGTCTGTCCCAAAAATAAATAAACGTTGAAAAAAAAAATAAAAATAAAAATAAATAAATAAATAAATAAATAAATAAATAAATAAATGCATATCCTATTCTGACAGAATTACAGAAGTCCTTTTGAATTTTTCCATAGCTTTCTCCTGAAGGCAAAGAATTTTATCTGTTTTAAAGTCAGGTTTCAAAAATTATAGCAGAAGCACTTTTCTAGAGAGTAATTTGCTACTTTACATACCTATTTCTGAGGACGTTTTCCTCCTGTATTTACTCTCTTGTTCTATAGTCTATATATAAACTTCTATCTGGAATCATAGAGGTATAAGCATTGACAGATCTACATCAAGATTGTAGCCCTTATTCCCTGAGCATTTAAATTGTTCTCTGAGGTGTGCTATATGCTTTTCCCTGCCTGTTTTAAGAGAGGATCTTAGCTGTCGTTTAACTTCTACTTGGTGATTCAGGATTATTGCCTCAGAAGTACAAGCATATCATAAATTCCTCATCTTTGAAATGAATTTAGACTCTCATTATGACCATTAGCTTTTCCTGAGACCCTTATTTTAGAGGCTTGGGGCATTTCCATCTTTTGTTCACCATTAAAAAGCTTTAGGATACCTCTCAGCTCTCTATATCTGAGGTATGCTGAAGCATTTTGCCTTCACTGCCAAATCCAGGGCACCACCCAATGGCATATGTACAAACTGCAGGTTTCTAATAAGGCTTGACCTACATTCCCAAGCAGGTGAAGTCATGGGAAATATCCAGATCTGCTCCTCTATCTCTGTGGGAATGCAGGAGAGGCATTATGGGTAATGCCTGGTGGAGGGCAGCTACTGGGCCTACTTAGTGTCAGTCTTAGAGAACTGATACCTTCCCATTTATGCCACCTTCATTCTGGCCCCACACTGGGATGTAATAGCTGACACAGAAATTATTTTGGAAGTGCTATGTTTTTGGCATTTACGTGTAAATTAGATGTATAAATAAACCTATCACAACACATTGGCTTTGGGCAAGAGTACTTTCTCTCACTACTACCATTAACCTCAGAATGGAGGAAGGAGCCAAGGAATGAAGAGAAAGAATAAGAAGTAGGATTTTTGGAAATGAAGAGGCAAAACTGTATTCATTCTTTTTTTTAAAAATTTTTTTAAATTTTTTTATTTTAAAGAGAGAGAGCACAAGTTGGGGAGAGGGACAGAGGGAGAGAGAGAGAATCTTAAGCAGGCTCCATGCTCAGCACGGAGTCTGATACAGGGCTCTATCTCACGACCCTGGGATCATGACCTGAGTCAAAATCAAGAGTCAGCAACTAACCTGAGCAACCAACCACCCAGGTGACCCAAACTGTCTTTATTCACTCTTGACATGATTGTCTACCAGACAATATAAGACACTTAACTGAAAAACTATTAAGACCAAATAAATTTACCAAACAAGAAATTATTTTCTTTTGTACAGATAATATGCTAATTAAAATGTAATGAATTATTTAATGCATAGTAGAAACAAAAAATACAAAAATACCTAACAATAAACTCAACAGGAAATGTTCAAGACCTATATGGCATAAAATACAAAATTTAATAAAAGAACTGAAATAGAACTGAATACATAGAAATGTACCATGTTGCTAGATGAAAAGATATGAATCTCCCCCCAAAACTTTCTATATATTAAATCCCAAGAAAAATTTCAATAGGATTTTTTGACTTGAAGTTCACAGACTGATTCTAAAATTCATCAGAAAGAGAGACTGTTCCAAAAAAAAAAAAAAAATGTGAAGAGCATTGAGGTAGAACCCCTCCTCCCAGATGTCAAAACATTAGATGAAAACTACTATAGCACAAGTAGAGAAAACAGATCAACACTGAGATCTGATAATATAAGGGAAATTGAAGTGAGCATTTTATAGCAATGGGGAAAGAATGTGGTATTTAATAAATAGCAGTGAAATAATTGTATCACCATTGGGAGAAAGTAGTTTCGTACCTCATACCATGTTCCAAATTAAATCCTAGGTTGATTAAATCTATTTAGAAAAAATTTTTAAATCTTCTTTTATCTATATTCTCTTTTAAATTTTATTCTAAAAAACATGGGTTAATATTTTCATAATTCAGGGTTGGGGAAACCTTCAGCAAGACTAGAAGCTCAAAATTATAAAGGAGAAAATTTGACAGTGTAAGATTTTTTTTAATTCTTTATAGCCAAAGATACCAAAGAAGAAGTTAAAGACTAGTTCTGGAGTCAAAGAGTACACTTCAGCATGTATAACCAAATATGATTATCCACAAAATATAAAGACCTCAACAAATCAATAAGAAAAAGACAAATGTACTCACAGAAAGATGGCAATGGTTATTGAGAATTTACAGAAAAAGAAATATCAGTAGCTAGTGAATAATTAAAAAGTTGCTCTGTCTTACTAGTCAGGGAAATGTAAATTAAAAAGTGAAATATTTCTTCCTGTGGGATTGATAAAATTAACAATATTGATAATATCCAAATTTTAGCAGGAGTAAGAAAAGTGGGCACAGTCGTGCTCTGGAGGTGAGAATATAAATGAGTGCAGCCATACTGGGGAACAATTTAACATCTATTCAAATATAAAAGGGAATACCCTTTGAAATGGCAGCTGCACATTTAGCAATCTGTCCCATGGAAATATTTGCTCAGATGCACAGTATTTTTTGAAAGAGCAAAATATTGCAATAACCTCTAGTCATTTTTGGTAGAATGGCTAAGTAAATCATTGCACCTATTCAGTGAGATGCTGTGCAGCCATTACATGACTGCGATGTATCTATCCATTCATATATGTCTTGACATATAGAAAGACCCCATGTTAAGAAAATAAATTCATGGAACAGTATTTATAGTAAAATTTCATTCATATTTTTCAATTTGTGGATGTGTATGTATGTATGTATGTAAGTGGGTGTGTCTGCACATACATATGTATATAAATGTTCACCCAGAAGCATTTGGAAGAATACTTCCAAACTATTAACAATGGTACTTCCAGAGAAAAGAGTGTGGAGGAATATTTTCATTTTATTATATATACATCTAATACATTATTTTTAAAAATTATGATGAATATATTTTATATTTTTAATTAAAAAACAAGACTTTGAAAAGCCAGAAGAAAATACCTTGCAAGAAAAAAAACCGTGCAACCATATATAAAGGACTAATTGTGCACTGAGGTGTAGCAATTCTGCCCTGTATTCTTTATTCACTAACCTGGTAAAGAACTATGGAATGTGAAGGTAAAAAGACAATAATAGAGCGAATTTGTAATGGAAGTGTAACCAAATATGTAGATTAGAGGTTGCAGTCCTCACAACACATATTATACATGGAGGAGAGGTTTCCGTTTCCATAGCAACACCGCCAGCACTAACGAGAAAGCATGAAAGGAATCCTTTTTCTCAGGGAGAAGTGCATGAAGTATGTGCTAATTTACTGAGCATCAAATTTACCTCTTATTGTTCATCCTGAAGAGGGCTTTTTCTTTTTTAATGCTCAATCATGAAATCCATCACTGACTTAGAATGGCAAAAGCCAAAATGAAATTTCCGACTAGACGGTCAGTATCCTTGTCTTGACTGCATCAATAACAATGACTCAAGGTCAGTCCATCAGATCTGCTGCTGAGAGTCCACACGCAGGTGCTAGAACAGCAGTATAATCTTTCGCTCCATTTCTGGGTTTGTGGAACAGTTTCATCTTGGGTGTGCTCATGTACCTCTTAAAACGCAGTCTTGACTTTTAGAAGACTTATACGTAATAGATGCTTAAACAAGTTACCGAAATTCAATATTTTTCTGCTAAAATGTAATCCTTAGTTGTGCCATCAAGGACGACCTTGAAAATTTATTAGCTGTCAACTCAGTTAAGGTGATTTTTTTTCTCTTCTCTTTCAGACATCTCGAGATCTGGCATGCTTTATACAGTTTGAAAATGTCAACATTTACTATGGGATTCAGTGTAAAATGAAATATAAAGCACCGACTGACCACTGCTTTGTTTTAAAGGTGTGTTATACGAAGTCCTTGATTTAGATTTGTGAACAAGTTGAGTTAATATTTTTTTAAGGAAAAAAGCATTAAGTGTCCCATAATTAACCACAAGTGTATCATAATAATTTTTTTGAAATAGGAAAAGTGGAAGCATTTCTACCCTGAATTCCTGTTTCTGATTCTAAAACTTTAAAATGAATCTGTCCAGGCTTCTTCATCACTTCTTAGAGCTAGGATTTAGGGTCAACATTCTTTTAGTTCTGCACCTTCCTTTCCTTAGTCTACTCAAGAGCCGTGTCACATTTGGGGCTCATACAACTGGGCTGAATCACTCACTTCTGGTTCTTGAGTCTGCTTTTTGCTAACTGTGTCAGCTCCTGCAGTCACAGAAGATTTTAGCAGCTTTTCCCTACTTCCCACTCAACTTCGTCTTCTACCTTGTCCCCAGACATTGTCTACACTCTTCTCAAAGGGTCTCTCATCTACGAACTTCTCAGCATACCTTGCCTTCTACTTGCAGAAGACAGAAAAGAGAAGGATTGAGTTGCCCTGGTTTACTTCATATTTACTTCTGAACTTAACTAATGGAGTAATCATCCTCACAACTCTGCACCTCAGAGGAAAAGGCTCCCTCCTCCAAGGCCAGTCCCCCTCCAGCATTAGCCCTTCCCTGGGACCGCACCATCAGTGACTCCGTTTTGCTTCAGCATCTCCAACCTCTCTCCAGAGAATTCTTCTCTTGGGCTACAACGCGTTCAAATATTCCTCGGTTTGGGAGGTTCCAAATTACTTCCCTCAGTTTGATCCACCCCATTCCTTTAAGCAACGCCTGCTTCTGTCTTCCCTTTAACTCAGACTTCTTGGGAAAGCAATATGTCCTCCATGTCCTCAACTTTCATTCTGTCAGTAAAACTCATTCATTCCAAAATATTTCTCTCCAGCCAACTGCTTTCTGGGAGGTTGGGATATAGTGAACAAAACAAAGAACTTCTCTGTGGAGCTTGCACTCTGCAGGCTTCTCCTCCCTCCTGTGCTGTAACTGTTACTAAAGTGTCCAGTGAGGTGGGCATCAGGTTAAGTCTGCACTCTTGATTTCATCTCAGGTCATGATCTCATGGTTATGAGATCAAGCCCCAAATTGGGCTCAGCACTGACATCTTGGGATTCTCTCTCTCCCCCTCTCTCCCTGCCCCTCCTCCCCTCAAAATAAATAAACAAAAACTTTTAAAAAGTTTCCAATGAACAATCAGCGGTTTCAGTCCTCAGGCTTCTGGTCCTCCTGGCATCTTTTGCATTGGTGATAACTGCCTCATTTTCTAGCCCTCTGCCTAGCCCCCTCTGTTCATCTGCTCCTCCATTTCTGTGGGTTCCTCCTCTTTCCACACATTCTGGGATGTTCTCCTGGGTTCTGTATTCTGTTCTCACCAGACTTGTGCTCTCTGAGAAGTCATAGTCACAGCCACAGCTCCAGCTGTCATCTGTATGCTAATAATTCCCAGTCTATAGCTGACAGTCTCACCTTCTCTCCCAGCCCCACCCTTGAGGTAACTGCACTGAGGGCACTTCAACCATAACCTGTCAGATGGTGATTCAACCCTCCCTCCACCCTTATAAACTCCCTCCTGCAGTCCCTATCAAGATGAATGATACCATCACCTGCTGTATTAGTTTTGGGGCGGGGGCGGGGGGGGGGGGGGAGGATGGGCTGCCATGACAAAGTGCAACAAACTGGTTCACTTAAAATAATGGAAACTTAAGCTCTCACGGTTCAGGAATCCAGAAGTTTAAAATCAAGCTGTCAGGAGGGTCGGTTCCTTTTGGAGGGCTCTGAGGGGAAATGTGTTCCATGCCTCTCTCCTAGCTTCTGACAATTTCCAGCAGTCTTTGGCACTCCTTCCTGGGCTTGTAGCTGCATAATGCCAATCTCTGCCTCTATATCACATGGCCCTCCTCTCTGTATGTGTTTGTGTTTCTTCTCTTCCTACAGGGACACCAGTCATATTGGATTAGGGCCCACCCTAACCAAGCATGACCCCATCCTAACTTGATTACATCTACAAAGAACCTATATACAAATAAGGTCATAATCACAGGTATCAGAAGTTAGGACTGCAGCATATCTTTGCAGGGGACACAATTAAACCCATAATACCCATCTGCTTTTCCAAGCTAGAAATAGAGAAATCTTCCTAAAAGTCTCTCCTGTTCCCTTTCTTTTTTTTAATTTTTTTTTAATGTTTATTTATTATTTTTGGGACAGAGAGAGACAGAGCATGAACAGGGGAGGGGCAGAGAGAGAGGGAGACACAGAATCGGAAACAGGCTCCAGGCTCTGAGCCATCAGCCCAGAGCCCGACGCGGGGCTCGAACTCACGGACCGCGAGATCGTGACCTGGCTGAAGTCGGACGCTTAACCGACTGCGCCACCCAGGCGCCCCCCTCCTGTTCCCTTTCTTGTCCAATCCATCATCACACTCTGATTTTCCATCTGAGACATCTCTCATCTAGCCCTCTGTCTGTCCTTCCTTGTCACTCCAGGCCCGTCTTCCACACGGCTGCCAGTTGCCGCCTGTATCACTCTGCTCTTTTAAAATGTCTGATACCTAGAGGACAATGTCCAGATCCCAGTTTGACACGAGCCCTTGACTCTAGCTCTCTCGAGCTGATTTTCTGCCTCTTCTTTCCATGGGTCCCAGACATTAGCCACACAGAATTTCTAGGTGTTCCTCAGATGTGTTTCAGTACTCTATAGCTTCTTCCAATGAACCTTTCTCATTTTCTGTTTTCAAACTTTTACTATGAAACTCACCATGTCATAGGGTAATCATATATTTCTTTACATATGTCTCCCCCACAACACCCCCAGCCACCACTTCCTAATTATGGTGTGAGCCTCTTATCTGTATTAATGAGGGACATATTCCTTAGCACCCAGAGGTATTTGGTGAATGTGTAGGTGCTTTGCTCTTAGTTCACCCACTCCCTTTGGTCTTGGACAAATGACTTACCCTCTCTGGCATAGTTTTCTTGTTTATAACACATAGTTACCTCACTTTAGAGGATCTGTAAGATCCCTCTTAACAGTAATGTTCTGCAATTGCCCTGACCTTTGTGTGCCTTTCAGCATGTCCTACAAGAGCTTCTCTCTGTTTATGATCAGGAATAATCAAACCAGTTGCACAAGAGTCTGGCCAGGGGTACTGAACCAGCATTTTTTCCTTAAACCCCTTTATAAATAATTTTTCAGCAAAAGGCTCAGTTAAGGAGTAAACCCTTTGGCAGGGTCCTAAGCCATGACTGGAAAACAAGCACAGTTACTTGCTATAGGATGTCCTGAGAGCCAGAAAGGAGCCTCGTGCCCACTAGATTAGCTCATCTTAGAATCATAAAATTTAAGGATTTCAAGAGACCTTTGAGGTCATCGGATGCTGTCTCCTGTATACATTTGTAGTATGTGTAGTGTAAGGAGGTCAGTGAGAATGTTGGAGAGAATGAACCAAGTTCTGTACACCTGTCTCATCACCATAGGAGGAGCCATTGTTAGAACTCAAGTTCAAGAGTTCTTGCCTCTTTCTTATGCTCAAAAGCCGTTATGTTTAATGGCTTTTACTCTATTTGGATTTTACTCTATTTGGATAAATAACATACTTAAGAATTATTTATTGTGCTGTTTAAGTGGATACCTCTACCCAGACAGCTGATTTGTGCATTTGACTGCAAGCATACATGATGTAAAGTCTGCTCTTGGGAACCTGGCTCTCATGTCCCATGAACCAAAAAATAAATGAAAAATATTTTAATACACCAAAAGCCAAGGTAACATTGTCAACTTTTTAAATGTGTCAGAAATAAAATAACAGCTGCTTTCTAAGAAAAATTATAAACAACAAACTGCCGAAGAGACCCATGTTTGCCCCTCTTAAATGACCGTCAATAAGAATACAGTTATGGGGTACCTGGGTGGCTCAGTCGGTTAAGCATCAGACTTTGGCTCAGGTCATGATCTTGAGTTCATGAGTTCAAGCCCCATGTTGGACTCTGTGCTGACAGCTCAGAGCCTGGAGCCTGCTTCACATTCTGTGTCTCCCTCTCTCTGCCCTTCCCCCGCTCACACTTTGTCTCTCTCTCAAAAATAAACATTTAAAAACAATTTTTTTTAAAAGAACATTGTTATAAGTTAAGGGGCTTTGTTTCTGGTGCTGGAAGACAAGGACTGTGGTTTGGTTTTGTGAATTTTATGGCTGGAGAGAGTGCTGCAGGCATTTGTGGAATGTCACATTCCATATAGGGACTAAGTCCTCAGCTTAGTGTACTTATCATCAATGTGACCTTCCAGTTAATTAATGTAACAAATCCGTTTTTGCTGTTGGGCCACATTATCCGCGTTGATAGTTTCAATTTTAAGGGCCTCCAACGGGAACGATCATTGGGGTAACATTTGTAAAGCTAAACTCTAACAGTTATATTAATGAGGAAGCACTGAACCCCAATAACGAAGAAATGCGCAGCAGCCATACAAAGTGCATGCTGCCATCTGCTGCCAGAATGGAGAACTACAGGCATCGTTGGGCAGCCTGGTGTCTGTCACCCCCCGAAAACCTAAGATGATTTTTCGTGATACAGATGCAAATTCTGAGGGCTGAAAGACCTAAACCAAGGGAATGGTCCATTTAAAGACAAAAGTATAAAGGTGGACATTCCTCAACTGGGTCAAAGGGCCAAAAGAAGGAATTCTTTACAATTTCTGATTTTTTGTGTGTGGTATCTTTAAAGTTTGGAATTTTGACCTAATAGCTTAATATAAATACAGAAATTCTAGGCAGTAGGACAAGAGACCCCCAAGGTTCTTGTGTACCATGGGGTAAAATATATAGTAACTTCTCTGGGCCTCAGTTTTCCCATTTGTAAAACCAAAACTTACTAAGCTCTCATCAAGCTCCTAAGAGTCTGTATGGGTCTTGTTATCCCTCTGGGCAATAACAGCAATGAGTTGTTAGATCAGCAGGGTGACTGGTCCAGATGTTGCTTCTCAGATTCACACTGAAGTTAAAGGCACGGTGTCGCTGGCTTACATCAGCTTTAGAAACAGCCATTTCCTTGAAGGTCAGTGATGAAGCTGGAAGCAAAAGTGAAAGGGAGTAGTCTGCAATACCCTTAGAGAGGAACTGGTCAGCTCCACTCCTTTCCCGCACTGAGGATGGCTTCCCAGTCTGTCAGCACTCCATTTCATGTGCACCACCACTAATTTATGCCTGTCCTAGCAGGATTAACAAGCTCCTCTGAGAGATGGAGGCAGAAGAGTTGGTCTCACACACACACACGCTCACACACACGCATGCACACATGATGGCTATGTTTGTAATTATTTTTCTCTATAATAAAACTTATTAAAAATGATAAAGGCCCATGAAAATTCACATGGCACAAATCTTAAAATCTAGATTTGGTTGCCTGCCCCTCACCTTGTACCCATGACACTTCTGGCTGAACAGGAAATCTTGCTTTTGTTCATTATTTCCTTCAACAGTTATTTCCACCTCTAAACCAGAATACTGACCACATGCCAGGCCATTGCTAAGCACTGGGGGTCTTCAGCAGTGAACAGCAGACATGGTCCCCACCCTCACAGAGCACACAGTCTATCAGAGACAGACACACACAACAGAAATTACAGAGGCAACAAGGATTAAGGAAGAGGGGCCCAGGTGATCTGATGACCAGAGACCAGTGTCTCTCTCCCCTCTTCATGCCTGCCAGTGTCACTGCTGTCTCTGACCATGAGCTCCTGGAGGGCTTGGACCCTAGTGCAACACCCCAAGCCATTGCCACTTGAGAATAGATAGAATATTCCTTCCCTGGGACACCCATCCAGAGGCCAAGATGGCCAGTATGAGTAGGAGATGACAGTTAACAAAAGGTGAAACCCTGAATTCCTGATAGGGGAGATATCCCTAAATATCCCTAGGACTGGTTGGGAGTCACAAAGCATTAATTCTGGGACTTAAGAATTGCATCAGGGAAGTTCCTTTATTTGATAAATGGAGAAACGATTTGGATTTCTTGTGGGAAAGGAGACGTGGTATATGCAAAGGCTTTTAAAAGCTAAAAAAAAAAGGAGAAATTAAAATTATTATGGATAATACAGTAAGAAGTGCTTATGATAAATCATGTCACAAATCTCTTAAATCCTTTCAAAATTGAGCCCACTCTAAAAATACCCCTATTTCTAATCCTGAAATTGCTGCCAGTAGCAATTTGCCACCACATCAGGAAATTAACATTGTTACAGTCTTAAATTTTTTTTTGAAAAGTGCTAATAGTTTATAAATGGTCTTTGAAATTACTTTTTTCTAGCATCCCCAAATTCAGAAGGAGTCCCAGTATATCAAATATCTCTGCTGTGACGATGCAAGAACCCTAAACCAGTGGGTCATGGGAATAAGGATTGCCAAGGTGAGAGAGCATTTGGGCTCACCCTATCTTGAATTGCATACCAGCATCCTGACCTGGGTGGGTCCAGTCTCCGTGCTGCTGAGAAACAGCTGGCCCATTCTCTGTGAATCAGAGCTGAAGATACTATCTCATTTATTTGCCCATTGGGGGTTTTTTTAATAGCGGGGAGTGATAGAAACACGGACCTCTCCAATGACCTGAGAATCAGGGTTTACTCTCCCATGAGACTTCTCAGACCTTCATTTACTCTTGGAGAGCTTTGCATGTGTCATGTGTAATTAAGACTGTTAGATTTATATGAAGACTTATGTACTCAAAATCGCGTGGCGAAAGCTCTCCTCTAATGTCTGGGTATGAAAGTATTAACTGACTCTGCCAATCTGGAAAATTACTTAACATGTGAAAAAAAACGATTTGTGGATGTTTTGTTGAAATCCTTACACTAAAAAAACAACTCCAGAAAAGAGTGAAAAGAGTAGCTACAAAGTACTTTTTTTTTTTTTTTTCTCAGTACGTATATTGCAATCAAGTGCAGAATCTGGGATAAATGGATTCCTCTCTTGCTTCTTTTGTGTTCTCTCCCCAGTACGGGAAGACTCTCTATGATAACTATCAGCGGGCTCTGGAGAGGGCCGGGCTCGCCTCTCGGACGAACCTGAGTACTGTCGGTGCAGTTCCACCAGCCCCACCTGCTACAGGTACCGTGCAGAGAGGAAATTCTCACACCTGTTCAGAGCTCAGAGCTCATGTTCAAACTTACACAACACATTTTGTAAAAACAGAACTTTGTTGGCACTGTGTACGTTTCCCTTCTGATGGTCAGGCTCAAGATCTCCACGCACCTGGATCTATTTCTTCAGAAGTGATTCTTAAGCAAAGCTTCGACCACTTTTCTCGTGATATGCTCATGGATAGGATGGCGATCACCAGTGTAGGGTGAGCTGGTCGAGTACTGTGTCTCATCAGAGTATAAAGGTTATATTTGTCCAAAGCTCCACTAGCACCCAGCAGACAGCCCACCCAAAGGACGAGATCATTCCCTGGTGTTTTGGCTCAGTGATATCATGGCCAGAGCCTTGTACCCAATCCCGGATATCACATTCTATAATAACATAACAGCTTCTTGCGTATATTTTTAAGGAGGACAGAACACTGAGAGATGAAGAGGGTACAATGCATTGCTTTACATATACTCGCTCTGATTCTTACAACAGCCCTGCAAAGTATAGATTATCATCTGCGCTCCTCAGCTGAGGAAACTGAAGCTGGGAGAAGCATAGTACCCAGCATCTTGTCAGTGGCTGAGCTACAATTCACACACATTGTCTTTATGATAACTAGTGGTTGAAAGAACTGGCACCATTTGCAGCAGAAAAGTTCTGGTCATTGTTTTTCAGTGTTGAAGAACGGTCCTAACATAAGGCTAGTATGTGTATTCTTTGCTGCTCAAAGGGTAAAAGCAGCTTAAAAGTGTGGAAGGTGCAATAAGGTAGATTTAACCCAACATTTAAAAATATTTCCATTAGATGTGTCCAGCCTGGCTGCTCTGTGAACAATGAGTTTCCGGAAGTGTCTATGCTGAATAAAACTGTTTTCTGCAGAGCACTTACCACAATGTGTAATCATTTTGTATATCCATTAACTCATTTGGTGCCTGTTTTCTCTACCAGACTCTTAAGTCTTGAAAGGACAAAGGACCATTTCACCATGTTCCACACATTGTGTTCCCAGAGCTTAAAAGCCTGGCACATAGTAAATGTTTATTGAGTTACTAAACAAAGGGTTGCCGAGGTTGGTTGAGAGTTGGGTTTCCTAATTCTGTTAGTCTTCAGCTTGGGAGTGAAACACCACTTAAAAGTTCTTGGCTGTTGGGGCGCCTGGGTGGCGCAGTCGGTTAAGCGTCCGACTTCAGCCAGGTCACAATCTCGCGGTCCGTGAGTTCGAGCCCCGCGTCAGGCTCTGGGCTGATGGCTCAGAGCCTGGAGACTGTTTCCGATTCTGTGTCTCCCTCTCTCTCTGCCCCTCCCCCGTTCATGCTCTGTCTCTCTCTGTCCCAAAAATAAATAAACGTTGAAAAAAAAAATTTTAAATGGCACATTTAAAAAAAAAAAAAAAGTTCTTGGCTGTCAAGCTTCCCCTTTCACTCTTTGCGGTGAGGCATTCTGAAACCATCTAGGGTATCTCTCCCAGGGTCATTGGTTTCCTTTCCAGTAAAGACTCCTGGGCTCTGTGGGAGGCATATCTGGCTCACTCCCATGGGTGGAGGCCCGTAGGTACCTTTAGGATGGGGGCTGGTCACCAAAAAGAAAGAGGAAGCAAGTGCTTCCACCACAGAGCTTTGGACATCACCCACAACTGGACACTTAATACTGCCTATTGATCTCACTGTGTTTCTGTAGACTGGCAGTCTTCAGCCAGGGATGACTTTGACCTCTGGGGAACATTTGGCAATGTCTAGAAACATTTTTGGTTGTCACACCTTGGGGGAAATGCCAGTGACATCTAATGGGTAGAGGCTAGGAGTGCTCCTACAATGTATAGGATAGGCCCCCACACAACAAAAAATTTTCCAGTCCCAAACGTCAGTAATGTTGAGCAAACCTGTTCCAGTCAATGCAATCTCCTAGTTTCTCATTGTTTTGGATGTTCTTCACTCTCCTCAGATTTCCAATCCCCAAATCTTTCACTCCCAGCAAAGGAACCATCAAATGGGAACTCCTTTGACTCCCCACCACTAAAACCAACAACTTACCTGCGTCTGCACCCATCCTAGTCGCATCCATTCTGTTACATCCTAACAAGGGCCATTCCTTCCATGCATGCCCTGGTCCCTATTCCAACACCAGCTGATGTTTTGCAGTACTCTGACACCCACCAATGGAGTTAGCTCAGACCAAGGGCACTGTCCCCAACAAAGCTGCCTTTCTTCCTATGTCATCCACACATCTGACCTCCTGGCTACAATTTCAGGGGTTCCCACTAGTTCTGGTTGATTAGAATGACTCACAGAACTCAGAAAAGTGCTATCCTTATTATTACAATTTTATCATAAGGGATACATATCAGGACCAGCCAAACGAAGAGACACATGCATAGCGCAAGGTCTAGGAGGGTCCTGGCTGCAGAACTTCTTTGTCCTCTTATTGACCACATGATTGATTTCAGTCCCCTCCCCAGAGGTTCGATTAGCCCAAAGCCCCAACCCTCTAATCACTTGGTTCATCTTTCTGATAACCAGCCCACATCCCAACCCATCTTGTTAGCATAAACTCAGATATTATCCTAGGGGTTCACTGAATAGCAAAGATATCCCAGTCACTTTGGAAATACCAAAAGTTTTAGAAGTTCTGTGCCGGGAATTCAGGACAAAGACTCGACAGATACTTTATTATACCATCCTCTTCTGCATTCTCTTCTGCTCTACTGAGTCCTTATCATTGTTCCCTTCTCCAAACAAACAAATAAGTTTTAAAACCCTCCTATGACTCCACACCTCCCTCCAGCTATTGCCCCACCTGACAACCAAACTGTTTTAAAGGGTAGACTACATTTGCTGCTTCCACTTCTCTACCCTCACTGACTCTGCCACCAATTTCAGTCAAGCTTCTGCCTCTAATGCCTTATGGAGAATGCTCTTGCTAATCCCACCAGTGGCCTCTAGGCTGCTAAATGCAACTATTATAAACCCCTGTTCTTCTCTGACCTTTCAGCAGCATCAACACATTCCTCCTTGAAACAGTCTCCTCTATTGGCTTTCAAGATAGTACACATTTGAGGCACCTGGGTGGCTCAGTCGGTTATTGTCCGACCTCAGCTCAGGTCATGATCTCAGAGTTGGTGAGTTCGAGCCCCACATCAGGCTGTCTGCTGTCAGCTCAGAACCCACTTCGGATCCTCTGTCTTCCTCTCTCTCTCTCTCTCTCTCTCTCTCTCTCTCTCTCTCTCTCCCTCTCTCTCTGCCCCTCCCCAACTCATGCACACGTGCATTCTCTCTCAAAATAAATAAACTTAAAAAAAAAAAAAGATAGCACATGCTCCAGACCTCTCATCGTACCCCCAACTGCTATGGTCACTCTTTTCTAACCTCCTCTACTAACTCTTCTACCCCACCTTAAATTGCCCACAGCCTCGTCAATCAATCCTAACCCTTTTCTCATTGACAGTCCCTCTAAGTGGTCTAAATCCACTCCTGGCACCATCTATGTGCTGACCACCCACAAATATATAAATCGAACCCAGACTTCTCTGCT